CTGCTCCGCCATTATACCCGCTCGCACCGTGACCCACACCTGCTGTGCATGTTAAGGCTACTGAAATTCTGCAACTAAGCGTGTTATTACTGCACTGAGCTACCCAAAAATATATTGTGCTTCTAAGCTTACTCAACTTGAAAACATGCTATAACCTACCAGGCCAAACTTTTGTTTACTCAGTTAAAGAAGTTTCAGTATTTCGTAGTAAGCCGCAACTCATTATACTTCGAATATATTCGTATGTATGTACATGTACACAGTTATAAGCTTTCGGAACTATAAAACACGTGAATCTTCATATCGACCTCGATATCGGAGTACATAGATAGATATCGATCCAATAAGAGTGAGGAGACCGAATCACGTTATCAACTGGAAAATTTGTGCCTTTGTTCCTTAATGGGACTTATTTACAGGATGCTCTGAGAACGGCTTGCTTTTAATGGAACTCGGTAATTTGGAAATTACCGTTTTGTTTTTGTAGCGAAAAGAGTAAAAATTTCTCGAAGAAATTCTGCTTTAAAAACCTTCTGGATGAATGTTTTGAAAAACAAATATTCAAAGGTGCTTGAACAGGTATTTAGGATTTAGTTATAGCATTTGTAGGTAGACCACCTGATGGTAAACCGTTACCGTCAATAATACCAGGAGTGCAGTCAAGCCGCTGTCTGATAAATTGGATCCACGCTGGTTCTAACCCAGAGAGGTATGAAGTGACTGAAATATTTAATTATTGGGTAATAGATGGAAACAGTTTTACATTAAAGCCGACTGCAAACGACGGTTAGATTTGAACAAGAAACAGTTTTATTGTTTTTGAGATGCATACTACGAGTATATGTAGAGTCGTGCAGAGTAGTTGTTGAAACGACAACGATAAGCTTCATAGCTAAAGAATAGTGTTGTAGCTTTAGTTTTTAAATATTATTATAACGTTATTTTATAAGTCCTTGCTAATGTTCGTTATGACGGATTAAATTATTTCATCGAGTCATTGCTTTCCTATGCGGGGTAAGCATTACTAATGCACACCATGCGCTTGGACGGTTTCGATTCGATTCCTATTTCGATCCTAATAAAATGGCCTTTTTCGGAACACTAACTGTCCCTGTTAGTATGGGATAATATGGTTTGATCAGTCTCGTGTACACTGTTCGTTAGCAATAGATAACAAGCTTAATGTATATAGATAGATGTCGGTAACAAAAAGCACGAGATAATGCAGTAACGTGACAGAGTGTAGTGATCACCCTCGGATCCTCACAATGCCTCGCCCTGATTGAATCACTTGTACTCCATTCACACGGAATTGATTTCGCGATCGAATTTTTTATCTTTTCGTAAATTACGCTTGTTTTGTTTGATAAGAAGCTGTTTTTTTATCTGTTATATAAATTTATTTAATAGAACATCCTAATTAACCTCTATCTGTTGGTTAGTACTATACATATTACAAAATAAACAGATGTCTGTATGCATGTACGTCCCTGTATACAGAACGCCACTTAGGTAGAAGAAAATTTAACGTAGTTTGTACTATCGTGGTAGTTTTAGTGTAAAGGAGGCCCGTGATTAAGAAAGACTTAAGTAACTTTGACCGTCGAAGTCTCAATTGTATTAATGACTATTACATATGTACATCAACTCGAATCGCCAACCGGATCCACGGTTGAAATAAGCACGTTACGTACCCTCCACAGAGCACAAGACATCGTATCGAGACTATCACGAGACAAAACCATACAAGCTAAACACAAATTTGCTCATAAATGTTCTATCATTAAACGCCTATTCAATAATGTTTCCTTAGAATTCCCTCAAAAACACTTCAAAGAACATGTCATTAAAATTGATTATAAATTATTTGTTCGGCGGGTCCTCAGAGCACCTTTACAACGATGCTCCTTTTTCAAAGGTAGAAAACATTTACGTAAATGAGAGGTGATCGACTCAGACGAGGCCCGTGTAATTATCTCTGCGCACTAATGTTTTCAAAATATAATGTACTAGGGAATTACAGGTATTTTTCGTTTTACATTCAATGTCTTCGATGAACGGATTAATTTATTTGAAACGGTTTAAACAAAGGAGTAAATTAATTGTTAATTTTGTTGTTAATATTCCGACCGATGTTGAATATTTGTTTTTACTTTGTAGATAATCTCCCACTTAGACTTATCTTTAAAACTCGTAGTAGGACGTACTGCGGCTCGTGTGGCCGAACAAATACTATTCTGACAACGTTTACAATGCCATTACATTTTTGTTACTTTAGCGATAAAGGCCCATATTTGAACGGTAAGATAAGCTAAGTACGTTTATTAGTCCGTTATAATGAAACCGAAGTCTCTTGTCTTGCGAGGGTCTTGCGGGGACCACAGCCCCGGCGTGAGGTCTGCTCACTGGGGGGTCGCGAGGTGTACCGCTGTCAACGCAAATAAATATTAAAGCAGACAGGGACACGCCAAAAATCAAAGAGTTGGCGCAAATCGTTCAATTAAGTTTGTTTTGAACCACAGTAACAGCCAGGGGGCCGTAAATTAAATTTAATAATGTTTGTTGTGCTCTCCGCGGTAACGGAAGGTCTGCCTCACCTGGACCGCACCGGTTGGTGAGAGATTGATGGAAACAGCGGCCGGCGGTTGTTTACTGGCGGATGCGACATCGCCAACCAATACCGCCGGACCCGAGGGCGCTCGGGAATGTTACGTTTTCATCTATTTATTGAGAACAGGACAAGAGATAGGGAGCGTGCTCGACTCTCCCTGCTAAAATAAATTCCCTTCTTTTAGTAACTTCCATTTTCCTTGTACAATCTGTTTTTTTTTTGGTCAAAGCAATCAACGGCGAATGGGTGAGAAGCTGGCCTGATCTTATTTTAATTTTTCTTTAATGCACAGATGGGTGAATGAGTAAATGAGCGCTCGGCCGATCTGGTGATAAATGGTTACTGGAGCCCTTAGATATCGTAATATGCCACCACTCACCTTGAGAAATGAGGTTTAAGTCTCAATTGTATAATTTAAGGGGTGCTTAGTCCTTAAAACCGCACGTGGTACCTACCCGGGCGGGCTCAAATATCCTACCACCAGTGAAACTAAAATGACTGTGCGACCATTTCTCCACAAAATCCTGGTCCAGCCAGCTTTCAGTCACGTTACTACTGCGTTAGTAGCATTCTTATTGAGAATGCACTGTAACTACTCATTCTTTTTTTCCGTGCTCTGTTCTTTAAATTAGTTTTGATTGCTAGAATATCTATCCGTAGGGCCTATGATCCCTCCTTACTAGATATATTTAATTATTTCTCCAGTTAAATATACCTCCAACTAACTCGGCAGACAAAGTCGCGACTTCATTAGCAGAAATTAAATTTCTCGCTCTGTATCCCGGGGTGCTTTTGTATTCCAGGCGTTAGTCACACCGGCAGCAGAGGGCCATCTGGCATCTGATCCATTTACAGATTACTTCATTTCGCCGGCTGTTGTTGTGAAGGGGATATTAAAGGGTCAACAACCTGCAACATTTTCAAAAGGAATAGCAATTAGATTATGAACGATATCACGACCTCGATCACAACCTGGGCACTGGATCAACAGCAGAGCTAGCGTGCTCCCGCCTTACCTGGTGTGAAGTACTCGTAGTTACCGTAGCGCGGGCACGTAAAGGCGCCCATTCGGCTTGAAACATGAGACCGAAGCCTCATTTGTATTGTGTAAAATATATTCCACTCCCTCAAACCGGATCCCTAACTACTCTGCGTTGAAAACAAGCAAACTGGTAACTAAGCGTGTGGGTTCAAAATATGCCACCACCTACCTACCACCAGTAGGTGTCGGTTACTCTGAGAACGTTACTGCCCATTCTCCGGGGAATCATCGTCTCAATCATATTTCTTGTACAACAAACACTAAGGAGAAGAGTTAGGTGGCGCTACATTAGGCCGACACTACACCACCGTTATTTAAATATATTAAAACCATTCAGCTCCAACAAATATTTTATCTCATCTAATCATAACATTACATTCATAATACCAGTCTCAAAAAAAATTATTTTTGTTAAAAACAAAAAAGGAATCAGTCATTTAGGAGGTAACGAGTACCTTTGTCCGTCAGTAGCGAGCCCTTTGTACCGCGCCGGCTCGCCCTTTGTGTAAATATATTCTAGTAATTGTACCCCCTCGCCTTAAAGAATTTTCCTTTTTCATTCTTACGTCCGTTATTATATGTAACGACTGATATTACGAGGAAACTACATGGCATAATGAGATCTTAGTTTACTTTGTCAGTAAAGGAACCAGAAGAGATGTCGGCTCATCTGGTATAAGGCGGCGATCCACTGAATCCCATTTTGTAGTGCAAAACAGAGGCTACCTTACACTTTCACATTCGTCAAATTCGTCTTACTCTATGCCCAATGCTAGGCCGAATTGTGAAATCAACTATCTTCGTATTTTCTGTTCACTTCGGATCTTCAATCTAGACTGCTCCCTCGCACATACCATGATATATGAATTATTATTGGAACGAAGTTCCTTATGGGACGATGCGGAACCCCTCCTAACCTAACCAGGAAAAAACCTCCGTATCGTAAGATTTTTATTATTTATGTATAGTCTTAGTATGATGCCTATACAGTGTCTAATGTATAGTCTACGTGATGACGATTATTATTATTATTATTCATATAAAAAGCTGTTTCTTTGTATATTATTATTATATATTTTTTATAAATCATTGTGAATAAAATAAAGATAACTTTGTAAAATAGTTTTATTTTATTTTTATCAATATAAAAATCATAATAAAAAATGTATACCCGAATAATTATTTTCTTTATACCTTGAATAGAACTTAAAATTAATATTTTTATAATAAGGAATTCCTATCCGGTGTCCCACGATACCACACAATTTTTTTTATAAGTACATCGATTCATATTTCTCATTCATATTTATTTTCTTAAAATTTTCTTAAAACGTCCATTGTCACCAGGATCGTCCACTGGCTCACAACGCGAGTGCACGCGTGTTCCACAGCAACCAGAGCCTTGTGCTGCAGAAAGTGACGCGACACAGCAGCGGACGGTATGCCTGCTCTGCACTCAATGCAGAAGGAGAGACTGTATCTAATGAACTACACTTTAGAGTTAAATGTAAGTACAAAAATCTCAACTTCATCTCAGGCGTACTTACGTATGCTAAATGATTGATAGCTAAATTACTAGCGTACGAGCAATCGAATCTTTCAGCTTAAGTTGGTCACAAAAATTCATAAACTTTCAAAAATAGCCGCCCCTCAAAGGGAATTGCGATTAAAAGTAAGATCATGCATCACTGTGTAAGCATCAGAGCTTAGTTAACCTATCAGGCCACGCATCTTTAAAAAAATCAAAGAGTCCTTACTTCAACGAAACTAATCAGAGATGGGGCGTTCCGTCGAGTCTACACGATTTGTGGTCACAGGTAGATGGATGGTAGAGGTAGCTCTTTATTAAAACACCACAAGTAAATAAATGAAGTAAACTTTAAAATAATAAACCGTTGTAACTGGCGGCCTAATTACTTAAGAACGATATCTTTCACGATATTTGGTAGATCCGGACTTATTAGCGAGAACGCGAGGAGCGAAGTTGTGTTAATTGTTTTGTTTTATTAATTTATCTTTATATGAGTAATAACGGTGGCTTATTAAACGTTCAGCATCTGTGAAAGTGCAAGTATGGGAAAATGAAACAAAGTCGGCGGACGTGGCTTCTCATGTTCCTTCTAAAAGTGCGCTGAAGTGTAAACAACCACCATTTAACTGAGCCTTTATTTCATTCCATGTCATCTAGTTTCGTTTATTCTCATCCCAATTGATTACAGTCTTAAATAAATCAACTTCATCTCATTTCGCTTCATATCATTTTTCATAAACCAGAATATGTACATAATAATATTATGTATGTATTTTATAATTGAAGATCTTTATAAACTCGACATTAGCAACAATGGTATCGCAAGAAGCCAATTGCCTTATTTAAGCAAAGAAAAAGAAGAAACTGAGTACATACGAAGAGGAAATATTTAAAAAAATCGTAGCGCGATGCGATGCGACAGCAAACGACTAAGTTAAAATAGGCGAGATTTGAAAATGGACAATTTGTGCACAATTCTTTCACAGTGCTTGTGCACAATACTTCTTGAGATACGATTATGGAAAAGACAAAATTTTATGTTGATGTTCTCAAACATAATAGTTTCTTGTTTCTAGCTAAAGTTCTAAAGTCTTGACGCGTTGAGAAAGGAAGCGTCAGCGGGAAGCCCGCGGTATTTATTAGCTGTCGAAAGTTGAAGATTGCTCAATTGATTCGCAATTAACTAATCGATTAGTCGGCTCACCGCCCAGAGCGACTTTACGAATCCAGTTGTGATTCTGAGAAATTGTTTTTCTCGTTCACTTGATTTTGGGTTTTTTCCCTTTTTGGCGCATATTTCTATCTTATCTTATTTTATTCGAAAACTTTTAGAAATAAAAAAAAAGTGCTTAGTTATCTCTCGCTTACATAACTGTAGCCGAAATTCGGTTCGACCATGAATCACGTACCGATACAGGCAGCTCTGCAACACTGCGGCTTTTGAGCGACGGCTGCTACTTCCCCAACCTTACGCTCAGCTTTGTCGTACGGGAATAGGATAGCACCTCCCCATATCCATTCGCGGGTACCGTCAAAGGTGACTGACCGCAGAATGGATAGTAGCAGTTTTTGTGCATTTTACCACCGTAATGCGTTCGCCTGCACTGGTCCTGCTACCACCGTCCTCTCAATGTATGCCACTAATCACTTATGAATTTCGATACAATACAATTGAGACTTCAACCTCGTAACTCAAGAGTTTCCGGTGACCACTTAACACTAGGTGGACCCTAAACTCGTATATCCTTCGACAAAAAAAAATAAAAAATAGTACCATCTAATTATTCTACTTAGCTTCTTCTAATGCTTTTCCTAGTTGCCGTATCTTAAGTAGGCTCTAGTGGGCTCTGTCTATACTTGTTTTGGTCTCAGAGGCTATTCAACCTCTTTTCCCGATGCAGTTTGGCCGAAGATTAAATTTGTTTTTATTTTTTCATTTTTTTCATTTCATTAATTAATTTGTCCATCTACAAACCAACCTGTTGGCTACAGTTACAAAGATAATAGACTGTTAATGTTAATGAACATTAATGTAAAGCTATGATTGATTAGATTTTTTTTTGTTATTTTCGTAACAAATGTTCAAAATTCTACATGTTTCTTTTAAATAGTTATAGACAATCAATTCCGGTGGAAAGGTAAATTTTACAACTCAGAGAACGGTGAGCAAGGTTATTTATAAACGATGTTTTCAGAACGGGTATCCCTACGCAAGTTGCCTCGTACGCTATTAATGAGGTCACATTTTCAAGGTGTCGCGTTTAAAATTTAACTCTTGTGACCCGCCGCGCCGAAGTTCTTACCAATCCAAGGACGGAACTATGTCACACTAACTTCAATATAACCCGAACCGACTCACCTCGAAATTGAATGATTTAAATCTACCGAGAATTTTACCCAGACCTTCGTCACACCGATATCGGGGCGAACGCTAAATGGAACATCTTACATTAAGTGTAATATAACCTTGGAGTCCTGTACAGCACACATTCAAACAAAGACCGACTCATCGACACCGCTCAGATTCAGTCGCCCCCACTACTGGCTAGTGAGTCACGCTATCCATGCATTGGTTGAGCAGCATCAGCATGCAGAATTACTGAGGAGCGCACAGTTCGGGTATTTGGATTCTCGGCACTTGCAAGTCGTGACGTCACCCTGCCCTCGCCCTGGTTCATTTTCGAAACAACTCTGAGAGATACTTCTTCTGAAAAAGTTTTCTTTATAATAGAAGAGAAGATGGGGTGGTTGATTTTGTGACGACGTCCGAACCACACACATATTGGCTGTAAAACTGTAAGAGTAACGACTCCCGACGTTGACGTCCTTTCTTTGTTCATTTATGTTGTAATACAGTTTATGTAACAATTCAACAAAATGTTTGTACCCAAATAAAATAGAAACGAGTCTCAACGTCATCATATAATTATCTAATTTTCAAAAACCGTTTGGTAATAAGTAGATTTGGAGCGGGAGCAAGGCTGGAGACAGATAATGATACCATTAGGAGTGGTCGGGTTCGCAGCGCGCCGCGAACAAGGGCCGGTTCATTAGGGCGCGTGGCGTCTCGGAACAATCGGCCCACGAACAATGCGAGGCGTCGAGCTGCTCTTAAACTGTTCAGAATTAATTAATCGCGTCGTCTGCGTATTGTCCGCTGGTAAACCGCACAAATTAAGAAGCGTCGTGACGGGATCGCGGCACACCGGCTCCGGCGGCCTCGCGTTTTGCTCGCGCTATCGGCCCCTCGCCTCGGAGCCTCCCACTAATTGTTTTTTCTCCGACGTTTGCCGTGGTGCCTTCTGAAAGGAAACACTGAACGGCTTACTTCACCGTTTTGTGTTTGAGATTAAATACTGTTTGTGTACTTTTATTTTTTGAATAACGATTACATTGACTTTCGCTTCAAAAAATGTTTCTGGACGGAAATTCCGTTAAAACAACTTCGAAAAACGAAATGAACATCTTAAAGATTAACTAAAGTTACTACATGAGGCTCACACGTCAGCATGTGTTATTGTAACTGTAATGGTAATGAGGTGATTGTTACCTAAATAAAATGTAATTTATTTCTTATTTTCATTAGAAATTAATACAACCTATGCGGTAGTCAGTGGATCGATGCGGTCCCTGATATCTCCGATTTCCTTAAACTTAATTGCTATCGTGAGCTATTTAAAGAAACCCTCATTTATTGTTCTATTTTAGTAGAATACTATTAATACTTGTGGCATAAATTTCAACAACTGTTAAAATCACAACAGTCTTGCATAATATTTGGACCGTCTGTCTGTGTATTCTGTATCATATGTTCCACGGGAGGACTTTGAGGAGTTATTCGAGATGATCACTCCATCTCCTTTTTTCCACCGCACCTTCTGGCATCGTAACAGATTTCATGCATAATATCTGGACCTGCTGCGTTCATCCACAGTGAGTTTCCAGAGGTATTTTTGCCTCGTACCATCCGGCTCCGAAATAAACTCCTCTCCACGATGTTTTTCTAGCGCTTTAACATGTCCTTCTTCAAACGAAGCTTACGAAGAGTTTTCAGCTATAGGCAGTAACTTAGCTGTGCCCCTGGCATTGCCTCATGATATCATTAACGTCCTTAAGTGACGATACACACTCACCATCATGTGTACCGCCCTCAAAGGCATTTAAAAAAGTACAACAACCTATATTCTTAGTGATGGCCAGGCTGCCCTTGGCGCAGGTGACCTGTAAAATAGACTGAGTGCACAAAAATACATGCATGAGAGCATAAAGTAACACTGAAACGGGAGTGCATACGGACCTTTACTAAGCTATGTCGGCACAACAGTACCAGTCTCATCTGAGTACTTGGACCTTGGATTTGATGCTGAAAGAAACGAAGAGTCTGATGAGCTGGCAAATATACGATCTAATAAAGCAATGGCAAATTCTTTACCATGTAGGTATAGGAATTCTTATGAAGATCGTCCATAACTCACAGAGGGATTACTCGACTACCAAATTCTATATGAATGGAACAATACCTCGATATTTGCTTGGGACCCTCACCCGACACTTCAGCAAAGAGAAGCACCTACGCGTTTTGAACCTAGCTTATGATACAATCTGACGACTCTGTATGGTGGGTGTATGTTTAGGCTCTTACCTCTAAATACTTCTAGAAGAATCATGCGGGTGGTGTTTAGAGATGAGGAAAAGGGCACGCTGTAACGATAAAAAAGCACATAATCAAAATTACTTATTATACATACAAGAGCTCACACAACGTATAATGCCCTCAGCGTGTTCCGGTATCCGAGTACGTCAACGAAAACAAATCACAATATATTAGTGACGGAAGCCGGCTCGAGAAACTCTTTAACGACTCAATTGTTCCGGCGCACTGGAGGGACATCATTTCAATTACAACACAAATGAGAAAACCCACTCTCTGAACGCGACAAGATTATGAAATGTCAAAAACATGACTTCGTTTGTGACATTGCGCGCGGCCTGTATCAGAATATTAAATATTCCCTGCAACCTGATGTTAAGTGGTTACCGGAGCCGACAGCCACCCGGAGGCTTGAGGTCTATGCCTTTTAATTACATAAACTGCAACTTTTACTCATTTGATTTCTATAACGTGCTGTCAAGCCTTCGTCACAGACAAGAGACAAAACGTATTTTATTAAAACAATTGACCACATCCTTCACTACGAATACACGGGAAAACTTAACCTTTAGCCATGATGTCTTCTTATCATAATATTATATTAATATTGCATAATTCAAAAGTAAATTTATCTACTTAACGTTAAACGAAAACCAACGGCTAAAATGAAACTTATGAACAAAATAAGAGCAACAGAAAGCAATACAACTTACAGAAATAATCTTCCGTAATAAGATTTGGTCTGGTTGTCGCACACTCAGCTAGTTAGCTCTTAAACAGTAATAATTAAATTATTTTCAACTTTGATTTATAGGTGAAGCCTATTTATCGCCTACAAAAAAAAACCAATGGTCCCTTGATACATAATTTATGACAATAAAACCTACAGGAATATTGTGTATTTAAACTTTAAAATTTTTAATGTGATGCACACACTTGTAAGTTCCATGCTATTTCGGCTACTTGGAATAATAGCTATTTGACTAGATTTGATTTGAATTCAATGTCATGAACCTTTTCTTTTCAAACACAATAAAAACCCAAGCCTCATCGTTTCAATTGAAGTATAGACAATTATCGGTATTTGTCTATGTTCTCATACGCTCTCGCGGCCGATCACCCACAAGGTGGACAGACTTGGTTAAGTTTTCTACGAAGTGTTCCCTTACTGAGTGTACACGTACCGCCACAAATAGAGAAAGATGGAGAAGTCTCTCAAAAGCCGCAACCAAATATTAAGACTTACGTAACCACGACCACTCCGCCAGGAGTGAACGACTGAGAAGAAGAAGTCTATGTTCTAGTAGTGTTCTCAGGAACTGAAAGATGTTGTATAACAATTCAAATGAAATAGGTAAAGAAGTGAGTTTGTTTGGCGCAGGTGAGACGTAGAACACTCGCCGACTCGTTGCATTAAATCGAACAGCTGCTGCGCCGCCCTAGGGCCGCGCGGTTGAATTTAGATGCCATTTTAAACTCAAATACAAATACTTAAATAAATATTGGAACAGAGCTTTGACAAGGAGCGATTTGGAGGATATTATTAAAGACATTTACATCGGGGCCTCTGATCGATTGCGACCAACTGTCTTCGAATGAGCTCTACTTTCTTATTCTAGTGCTCAGGTTATTATAAATCTTTTTACAATTTTGTAATTGAAATAATTGAATACAAATAACCTGAGAGCAAAAAAAAGTGTGTGTGTCCGCTCCGACGCACGACTGGAGTTTACTGGATATAAAAAATTAAACGAAACAATACGAGAAATAGTTCTATATTACGACAACACGATACACTACAGATTATTAACAAATTAACGAGACACAAAACAAACGACTAACAAATATATGAAAATACAATAATGAGAGAAACGCGCGATCAGTNCAAAACAAACGACTAACAAATATATGAAAATACAATAATGAGAGAAACGCGCGATCAGTACGAGGCTTTGTGGCGGACTGCCGGCGCATGTACTAGCATGTCACACGAAATGCGCATAACGCATTTCGTGTGACATGCTAGTACGATTTTGGTCCCCATAATTTTCATACCCCGGGCCTATATATGTAAATCGATTCTAAAGGAGTAAAGTCCAATGATTTACGCTCCATTTTACTGTATTGTATGTGTTTTGGGAAATTGTACAATTTAAATTCTAAGCTGTAGCCACAGATGGTAAATATTGTATTTGATTTCAGTGACATATGACCTAATGCATCGGAAATGTGATATTTGAAATTTGAATAGAGAAACCTTAGAGTAAAGCACGCTCAGAACACGAGGCAGCCCTACAAGGCGTCTCCTTTCACGTAATGGCTGTCGATCTATTTCGCCAATTGTAAGATATAGCCCCGACAAAATAAGATGGGAATTTTTAATGGCCGCATAACTGCGCGTAACGATGTCATAAATCTTATGTTTCACGGACGAAAAAATATTTGGTAATAAGTTCAGTGCTCGGTGCCGCCGCCGCGCCGCCTCGCGTAGGATTTGTACTCGAGGAACAATAACGAGCTAGTTAATTGCTCCGAACAGAATACAACACATCCCAAACTTCGACTTCATCACAGGTGACACGGCTTGCTCTGCCAGTGTCTACTCTACTGAGAATAGTCCAAGAGCATTCATTCAGTTGAAAGTGAACCTTATTATCACATTCCATGTTAGACTATGCCTCAAACAATTCTGCATCCTCACCATACGTCCGTGAGACGCTAACCGATTAGACATTTACAAATGGCAGTACGTCATGTCGCGCGTCACGCGTCACGCGTCACGCGTCACCGCGGCACGCTGGACGTCACGTTCTCGACAACACAAACCGTAATAAAGGCAACACGATTCGTTCTCGAACCAACGTGAGACGATTAGTCAAGTGGAATCCCTTTTTATGAGAACAGTGACTGCGTATGTATGGGGCTTGTGTGTAATGAGGTCGGGAAAGAGATTCCAATGGGAACATTTGTAACAATGATTTGATTTAAAACGTATTTCTAATACTATATCGAAAACCTCGTATTGACATTAGTTCTGGGAATCTTAATAATAGACATGTTTCTCCATCATACATGAAGACAGGTGAGTGGAATCCGAGCTGCCCCAGGTACCACCGCTACTTCTCATTGATCCGTCCAAAGTGGTTCATGTCTGTCTCCTCGCCTATGTCTCTACAAGTATGTTCCTCCATAATTTCTAATCCCCTGTTGNTACTATATCAAAAACCTCGTATTGACATTAGTTCTGGGAATCTTAATAATAGACATGTTTCTCCATCATACATGAAGACAGGTGAGTGGAATCCGAGCTGCCCCAGGTACCACCGCTACTTCTCATTGATCCGTCCAAAGTGGTTCATGTCTGTCTCCTCGCCTATGTCTCTACAAGTATGTTCCTCCATAATTTCTAATCCCCTGTTGCCTATAATAACTACTTCTTCAATTTCTTAAGTCTGACATGTTCCAAGACTGTCCAGGTGGGTAACCCTTGTCAAAAAGTAGCATGTCCTATGATCTCACACAGCATAGCAACATGACCTTGATGATCCTTTATATACCACATGCTTCAGTATTTTTGTGCTCATTCATTTTACAAATGACAAGAGACAGTGGTTGACATCTAAATTATAAACAAAGTTTGTAGAGTGAAGTATTTTAATACATTTTAAAAACCATCGAGGTGGACCGAGTTTCAAACAGCTTCAGTCTGCCTGTCTTGTAACTACGAGTAGTAGAAACCAGCACCAAATATACATAAAATTTACATACTTTGACCCGCATGTTGCAAATTTCAAATATTAAAGAGTATTTTAATTAGTATAATGAGTGGCGGCGGGCGGGTCGCGGCGGAGCACGTACACAGGCTCCGTCCGATCGCTCCCCGACGCGACTATTCTATTGTCGGGGAGGGCCACTTAATGGAACCGTTTGAGATATTCGTAGCATGTCACCGTTCACTTATGGGCTCGATGTACGTCACGTTTCAGTGGACATTGTCCCGATTTTCTCGCTTTCAATCTGGCTAATGGAAATTCAATAGGTTTACGGTGTGCGAATCTCAATGTGTCAAATTCATAATTTCCCTGCCTTTGTTTAAATTCACACTGCGTTAGGCACATCGTACACCTTATTTGAGTAAAATGAACCGAAATGTTTACATAATAAATAATGAAACAGTCCATCCCCTTTCATGGTAGGCAGCATCATGTCGATGTCCACGGCTCTTCTTTCTTCAGTGGCGATCAATTATACACACGTCCCAAGATACAGCTTATCAAGGCGGACTGAGCATCGGCCGGGGTCGTGGCTCGTGTACTCTCTCCCTTGTTGTCAATGCTTTTTTTATTTTTTATTTTAATATATTTTGTACACACAGCTATTAGAAAAGACACGTCAATAAGGATACAGAGTACAAGGGCACTACTTATTTCATGCTGAAATCTCTTCCAGTAGGCCCACAAAAGGAAAAAAAGAATTAGGAACACAAACCTAGTGTATACAGTAAACATTACATATAACAATATATACATATTACAAGATACAACACAATATATATACATACAAATACACACACACACACACACATATATATATAACATACACACATATACTTACTTTATATTATAATACATTATACAAATATATATACTTTATTTAAGATGGTAAGGATAAATAATGTTCTTTAACAGATTTCTTGAACGCTGCTATGGTTTTGCACGCTCGTATGCTTGGAGGGAGGGAATTCCAAAGTATAACTGCTTGTACAGAAAATGATTTTGCGTAAGCATGTGTTTGTTGTTGTTGAGTGGCTGAAGTTGCCAGAAGTGTAATTCATTTAGCGATTGTTCCAGACGCGCCCTCCTGTCGAAGCGGCGGTGTGTCGGTGGTGGGTGCGGCCCGCGGTGAGTCCGTGGTAATAGTGTGCGAAGTGGACGCTGACCCCCCCGCCGCCGTCTTCAAGTGGAAGTTCAACAACTCCGGGGAGACCCTCGACGTCGCCGCCGACAGATACACCTCTAATGGCAGCGCCTCTAGCCTTAAGTGAGTCTCTCTCTCAAATTTTATGAAAATTCATACTATAATAATATATTTTAAAATTAAAATAGGTATCCGTATTTAGTATCAATCGATCCAAATAATCTAGGCTTACTTCCACTGTCCATGATTAGATGAGATAAAATTCTTAATGAACTAAAACCTACTACACACTTACATTCAGGTACCTAATTTATAATATGGGTTTCTTAGGTTTGTTTACATAAATCCTCGAAGCTTTGTTTGGGGGCAACGTGGCAGCGTCGCTTATTGTTAAAACTCTTTAAAACCTGATTGGACAATACAACCGGGCCGCAGGTACACTCCAGTAGCCGACCTGGACTACGGGACCCTGTCGTGCTCGGCGTCCAACGAGGTGGGCGCGCAGCTCGCCCCCTGCGTGTTCCAGATGGTGGTCGCAGGTTAGATACTTTGTTTTTGAAAAATACCTTGAATTTCCAAGTTATTCATATATTTAACAAGCGACATTATTTTGCTATAACTATCTAGCTATAGCGACTAATTTATATAAAGCAATAACATGTACATAGCCACGTGTAGTATATATGTACTATAGGTAGCTTATGGTAACTCCAACATACAAAGGGATCTCCTTTGCCCGTCGAAGCTTACTATTAACCAGAGTAAAGCGCCAAGACTGAATAGTATTGAATGAAACTATTTTAGTACCACTGAGAGATTTAATGATATTAATATCACAGAATTATGGTCTTACAAAACTTCCACCACTCCCACCCCCCGGTCAAAGCATCATCTCACATTCTGATGATTGTGTACTCTAAATATTGGTTTGGGAGCGCTAAGAACTAATTAAAGTACGATAAGCTCGTTTAGTTTAGTGGTAGCAGCAACGGTGCGAGACAATACATACGTTCGTACAAGTAAGGTCGAGATGGTGTGCGCAGGCAAACCGCACGCCCCGCGCAACTGCACGCTGTGGAATCAGACGGCGGAGTCGGTGGAGGTGTCGTGCGTGGCGGGCTTCGACGGCGGCCTGCCGCAGACCTTCCTGCTAGAGGTCTACCATGCCGACGGATCCTCCCCGAGGTACTACATGCACTAAATGTTTTATTCAATTATTATTTTTTATTAAAAACAAGAGCAGATCCGCTTTTTGTTCTTTTTTTTTATTCTACCTATGCTGATGGCCTTGAGAGGCTATTTCAGCTTCGCCCTAATGTGTAGATGAGCTCACGGGGCTCAAACCGGAGTGTTTCTAACACTGGCCCTAGCAAGAGCCGAGCTTCGTAGAATCTAGCACCGGATCGGAAACGCGACCCACTGAGAAGATCCGGCGAGAAACTCAGTGGGCTGTGTCTGTTACTCTGCCTCGTTTATCATCGTTAAATCTATTTTTCGACTACTAATTGGAATAGCGCATAATAACTTTGCTTGTTTATTATGTCTGACGAGTTCGCAGGCCATTTGATGGTAAACATAGCAAGTCATACACAATAATTTGGACGCAGCCGCTGCCAACATGACATTCTGACGTCAAACACTATTGGATATAACTAAAATAAAAAAAATGGTTTTACTATTATGCAATATTTATAATCTACACAAAATGATGATTTATTCTATTCTTATAAAGATATAGCTACAGACGTCACCTTCCATTGAACAGATGTCAGATGGGCACTGTGGGATCCACTATTCCCATATCAATAGACAGGTCTCTTGCCTATCTTTTCATGTTTTAAAAAAAAGTTAACTATAAATGTGATTCAGAAAACAAGACAGTAACAATTTGCAAGTATTTAACTAAGAAAGGCTGTTCTTCAAGGCTCCTAAATATAATAAAGTGTGGTGACGTGAGGTACAAGGGGCGGCGGAGGGGAGGGTTGGCCGCGCGGGGTTCGCGCCTTTTAATATAAAGCGGGCAATCTGCCGCGAGTGGCGCCCTCCGGCGACGTGCCCGGACTTAACGACTGTCACACGACACAGTTACTACGCACATGACGCTGTGCTTCTTTCCTGTTACGTATAATTTAAAAATAACAAAACTACCAGCCCTTAATGGATCCGCCGAGGGGCCATTTGCGGTAACGCGACTGAATTTTTCCAGACCTAACTTTTTCCCTTTCGTGAACCTTTTGGAGCCCCTTTTGTGCAAACAAATCTTTTAAATTAAATTGTAAGAAAATGTCTTGTTTAATTTTTTTAATGAAAACATAGCTAATTAGAAGCTATTGTTTTCTTAATTAGGACAATAATGTTTTTCTCTTAAATAAACAAACCAAATAAATACGAAAATTTTATTCCACAAATAATAAATACAAAACAGGTGTAACGAAGATGAATGTCGACTGGCTCGCTATATACGTAGCTACCTGTATACGGCGGGTACAATTCGCGAGCACTGTAAAGCTAAATATACGTTTCAATGAGACAATTATTCCCTTTCCTTCAAGTAAAAATTAGACATGATATAATGTGAGCAGGTAGGGGAGACGGCTCAAAGTGGGATTCCATGTCAACACGGGGCCCTCATTAAAGTTGGCGAAACAGCGTTAATTATGAATTAACACGACGGAGTCCCGACCCCGACCTCCTCGCCGCGGCCTCACCTGTCACGCTCGATACGCGAACTAATCTATTATTCTATTTATTTGAAATCTTAGAGAAACATGCACTTAATGTTTTATACAGATAAATCCCATTCAAAACTCAGTAATGATATTTCAATAAATCGTCTTATTCGTCAAACGCAACTGAAACAAATAATTAATACTTAGGTTTGCGTAAGTCGTAAATAAAATCATTCATAAAGTATCTCGTAGCCGATAAAACTATTGTATCTAACTGCTTAGAACGAAAAAACTAATTTCAGAGTCTATTAACAATACGTAAAGTGATTTATATCATGCAGCTTTTTGTGGAGTCATTATGTATATTTTCGCTTTGACTAATGTCAAAGCGGCTCAGACTTATTATTTATTCGTAGCTCAATAACAAACAATAGCTTCGTAATTTAACTTTTATAACTTGTGTTTTAACTCATAGCAAACAAATAACTTGTGTTTGAAGTTTTGTTCGGTGCTCTGCTACGCGGCACTACGCGGCGCACCTAGCTAGTGCTGGGAAGAAAGTAATAGTTTATATAATTTCGTTGTTATTGGGTTATTATGTTGTAGAGATTTTTATGGCGTGCGTAATACCTATTGTAAAAATACTATTTTTCCTACGAGCCCGCTTTCCTTATTACTTCTGTTGTTTTCATTTTTTACTGTTAAATATTCACAGTTATTCATGTTAAAAGGTCTTTGAAATCTAATAAATTTAAGTATCTTCCATAACATTATTACGCTCCTACAAAGATTGTTTTAAAGAGGTTTCTGAATTTTTCAAAATACGCTCGTGTCTCAAAAATAAAAAATCAAATGAATCCTGCGAACCTCCGTCAATTTCTAAGGCTAGCAACACTAAGTCGACACCTCCGCACCACACGAGACAATGTTAATAAATGTTGCCGGCTTAGATTATTTAGCGCGGCTCTGTGCTTCAAACAAGACCCACGGAGAATTCGTAATACACACATACGTATGTATGTAAATTAACGTGATCATTTCGATCAAGCTCCTGTGATAATTAACATATTTTATTTTTATTCATACAAATATAGAGCCACCGATAGTGCTGTATATTTCTGCTGCAACTCCATCGTGTTCCAATACAAAGCGCCGATTAGTTATGTTATTAATGAAATGTAATTGAGACTTTGCCTGAATGTTCCGAGGAGTTCTTTTGGTAAATCTCACTACTGAATAAACTCCGAGCTCCCCTGCCCGAAAATGATTGATAAAGTCTGAAAAAATATTATGTCCATTCCTTTTTGTGTTTATTATAAGTGTGTCATTTAATTTATTGATATCAACAAAAAACATAAAGTAAAAAACGCGATTTACCAAACATTAAACCCTAAAAAAATGTATTCCCATTAATGCAAACAGAATTCGATAGCCCATTAGCGCCTACACATAAAATTGCAAAACATTAGACATATTTTATGATATCGTAAATCGGGACGCGGGATTGTGTCCGATAAAGCATTCAATTATAATTAAGAACATTAACGGTTGGGCCGCCATGTTCTCGCTCAATAAAATACATTCATTTAAAAACACACTTCACTTGAGTTGATGCTAATGACTTTAAATTATTTCAAAGGCGGGTTGTATTTTTCTATGATTATGGAAATGCTATCTATCTATCTATATATATAAAAAAGAATTGCTGTTGTGAGTCTCGCTAAAACTTGAGAACGGCTCGACCGATTTGGCTAATTTTGGTCTTGAATTATTTGTGGAAGTCCAGAGAAGGTTTAAAAGGTAGATAAATATAAAAATGCTACGAGTATACGGCTTACCTGATAGTGAGTGGTTACCGTCGCCATAGACATCAGCAATGCCAGGGTCAGAGCCAAGCCACTGCCTACCGCTAAGTACTCTCCACAAGCCTCGTTTGAAGAAGGACATGTCATAGCGCTCGGGAAACACCGTGGAGGGGAGTTTATTCCAAAGCCGGATGGTACGTGGCAGAAAATCTATCTGGAAACGCACTGCGGATGAACGCAGTGGCTCCAGGTAGTATGGATGAACTCTACTCCGGTGGCGGGCGGTGCGATGGTAAAAACGAGATGATGCGATCATCTCAAACAACTCCTTATCAGTGTAATACAGTAATGTAAAATAAATAAAGTAATGTATATCAAATCAACTTACACTTAATATTCATTCCTTCAATATTTCAGAGATGAACAATACTAGTAATGCAATATACATTTTTCATTCAGAGTAAACTTAACATCAGAAGAGCCGTCGTGGACGATACGAGGATTGGAGTGGGACGTGCGCTTTCGACTCATAGCCGTGGCGGTGAACAGCAAGGGTCGATCACCACCCGCCTCCCTAGATGACGTGCTGTTCAGAGACCCGGAGAAGAGAACAGGTCAGTTAATATCTAGTATCTGAAAAAAAAGAATAGTATGTGTGTACTCCGATGTACTACGATAAAGCATGGTGTAATAAAAATCAAGCCCGCGAAAAATATAATTACCGTAATTACTGAAGGAAAAGCGTGACGTGAGTCCGCGCGGGCACCGCACAGGTACCGCATGGGGACCGCATGAGCACCGCACGGAGACCGCACGGTACCATCCATGCTCTCTGTTTCTGATGCGAAGAAATATTCAGTTATAATTTGCAGAATATTTTAAGACGTGTCCGCTTGCTGTCGGATGAGCACTGCGTGCACGCAATAGTCTATGCAAATAAAAAGTTATAACAGCAATTAAATTAATCCCCTTAGACTAGATAGCTGTTTGATTTTTTTTTCTTAAATATTTTCATAAAACCTTTATTTTTTCATATCGCAACAGAAATAACAATTCGAGCATAATTATTATTCAAAATCCGAGTTGAAGTTTCTGATGTAATAACAAAGCTCACATATGCTAAAGGAAGATTAATTAGCGTCATCATAAGCTGAAACGGATAATCGTGGAAGGCATTAAGCGGGGCCATCATTAGAAGACCATCGAAACATACGAGCTACACTTGTCCGTAACTAGTTTTTGTTCTAAATCACTCGGCGAAACTCAATTTGGAGGGTTAAAGTGGGGACCCGGGGGAAGGGACGCACGAGGGCGTTCTAAGTGGCGCCAGAGCCTTTATCCTCCGCGAATTATTAGCCCTGGGAAAACATTAGCCCCATCTCGAAAAATATAAGAAAGAAAAGTGGCGACTAAAGCGCTTCGTAGATTTGCCGGTCAGAGCGAGCGAGGCCCGTGACTCCGACTCTTTACGAGGCTTTACTTCGTATTGTAAGAGTAAAGCACTTTGCATCGTTGTTCCCGCAATCTTTATTACAAATAAATATCTGGATCAATTTCGGCGACCCAACGATCATTGGCAACTCTATTCACGAGTCGGTTTGACTTCTTTATGCATAAATCGCTATCCGAATCTCATCGAATACCGGTTCAATGTTACCAATCGTCACCAACACGTCTCTTCAATGTCTCTACAACATTTGGCTTGTGAACCTATACCTTAAGAGTTCTTCGACTGGCCGAATGCTGGGAACGGGAGGTCCACGGTAATCCGGTTTTAATTAAACGCAGCTCGCCTCCAGCGGGCAGATTAATCGAGAGCTACTCTTGTGCCCCGGCCGGGTCACCGCTGCCAGGGCTGCTAACTAACTTTAAATGTAGTTGGGGCCGATTGTTGCACAGACAGATTTGTTTGTTTGTGTTTCCATCCTGGTGTGGTTTTAGGAAAATACATTTTTAACTTAGCCTTCGTATATTTCGGTGTTATTGTCTTTTGAGATCCCACAAGATAATGCATGCTTTCTTTTTATTTAAATATGTTCATCTGCCAAAAGTAAACAACCGGTAACATATTCCTCTTACATGGATATATAATACGTATATGTATCCTTTAACACATTTCGACAAATTGATACTGCAGTAGTGCGTGGCCAGTATTGTACTTGCAAGTTGCCTGCCTTCATGGGCAGTTCATAGTGATCATACGTCAAACATATTATGTATTTATTTGATCCAATTGTCCGTACAATCGCTGCAGCCCTAGTCTCAAGGGCCTAGGCTCAAATTGTAACAACGTCTTGTAGGGTACGATCTCCACCGATGACCCTCACCGGTAAAAGCTCAACGGCCTCTGTAAGCTACTGTCTTACAAAAAATAATAGAGACATACTTTTATTAAATCTAAGGGCAAATATTAATATTACTTCAGGTGCAAACAATGCTATTCATTTGAACATTATCTTCAGAAGCAATTTAATGAAGCGACTGTGATAGTAACATTAGGTCGGGCAATAGTATTTCATAATTTATAAATTGTTACAGTAAATTTTCTTTGGTTTTACTGTTTCTATCTGGATAGTTTTACCATTAAATGATTCCACTAGGTGATGCATTGATACTTTAGGATGTTAATAAAAATCGCACTGAAATTTTTACTCCTTCTATGGCAGGGTCCAAACTCAAAACTGCCCCTAAGCTGTTACATATTAACATGCTCAAAATCCTAAATCTGTAATCATTTTCTTTAAGTTTGCAAGTAGGTTCGTAGCTACGAAAGGTAGCTGGCCTATGTTGAATACGAGTTTCGACTTTTTTGTATTGTCTAAAACCAATTACCTTCTCTGTTCCGACTGCGTCATTTAGTTTATAACAGCAGCACACGCACTCTACATTCTAAAAATAAAAAATCAGAAAACACAGGACTACAACATTAAAGGAAATCATCTTTATCCGGTTATTGCTGAGAAAATGTAATGATATCCGACCTTAATTTCCTTCAAATGTATAAACAATAAAATAAAATAAAACTTTAGTCCTCACGGGTAAGTACCACCACCCTGCCTATTTCTACCGTGAAGCAGTAATTATTTTGATTTTGAAGGGTGGAGTAGCCGTTGTACTGTAAAAAAACGGAGACCTTAGAACTCATGTCACGTAGGTGGCAGCATTCACTTTGTATATTCCTATGGGTGCCGGTATTCACTTAACACCAAGATGAGCCGTTAGATTGGCCACCTATTTAAGCTTTAAATAAAACAGGTAACTTATGGCGAGCCTAATAAACCTTCAATCAACAATTTTCAAACACATCACGATCGTGCAACTTTCTCTGGCCCTGCGTTTAATATTGCCAGCATTAGATAAAATTCAGACTTCAACTGTTATTTGAAATAGCACAACTATAGGAAGATTCTGTAATAAAGCTCAAAGCAGCTTTCTTAATTAGTTTAGTCGTAGCAGGCTTAGCCTCGCTTCGAATAACTTAGTTTACTCGAAACGAAATCGACATAAAGACATTATTGAGAGAGATGAGAAACTGGAACAACTAAAATTAAATAGCTATTTAAATATTAATTTGACTTTTGTGTATTTTAATCTTGAACGTAGACTAATTTCGCTGCTGTTTCTTAGAAACACTATTCAAACTTAAATATGTGGCTCGCTAGGAGCACATAAATGTGGAGGCGGACCGGTGTACTCGCCCTCTCACTACCTCACTCTCACCGTGGTGCGACCGTCGCCTCTGCACATACTAATCTACGGAACCCTTGTGGTTTTTAAATATACGCTTCACTTTTAGTTTATTTGTTTCATGTATGGATGAGTTCGATGAGTTCTCGGTCCATCGGGCATTACTTGGCTGGCTTTACTTACTGAAGCAAATAAACATCACAAGGTTAATACTGAGACATGTTGATGATCCATCTTGAGCCGAACTTTTTTTTTTATTGTCCTTGTAGGCAGACGAGCATACGGCCCACCTGATGGTGAGTGGTTACCGTCGCCCATGGACGTCAGCAATGCCAGGGGCAGAGCCAAGCCGCTACCTACCGACTCTCTCAACTCTCAGTTGTTTAACACCATTGCTGCAAAGGTGGGCCTCTCTACCCGAAGAGCGTGACTACTTCAGGGCAGCGTGGTCCCCCCCGCGTGGACTCACATACGCCCACCACTAATAAATACAAATAGATATTTAATTTTATAACTTTTGCAAATACCATTTTTGTTAACTGATTTTAGTTCACTGTAGAGGTCGTTAGTACACAAACGTTAATTACATATTGCTTTTAAAAATGAATACCAGCCAGCTAACTAAGACCAGCTAACTAAGACCGCCAGAACCACAAACTCGAAAACCTATCTAGTGTCGTTCTCTGGTTATTTCCACCGGGTGATGAGTTCGTGACTCACGTTGGTCGCTCTACCCAGGAGATACGTCACATCCTTGAGAATATTGTATTGTCGAAGCTGTTTATTTATTAGTTTTTTACTGAAGAACTGCTATCGAAAATTTATCATTTTGCTTTTTGGTGGATGCATGACAAAGCGTCACCTTAGAACAGATCGACCGACGGTGGATATTATCGACTGATATTTACCACGGAACGTCACCGGTTTCGCTAGTTCCATAATACATATAATATCCTGAAACCGTTTCATCCAAAGTAAAACATTCATTACATTCAGCTACACCCGGCTTATTAACTAAATAAATGTGATGTGAAATGGTCACATCCCGCTGCGGATATTAACATAAAATGACCCTGGTGCTACAATTTATGTGCTTCCCTCACTCACACTGTAGCGGCCGCCCTAAATATTCATGGCTTAGAGCGACGAGCCGCCCGCCGCCGCCGCCGCCGCCGCCGCCGCAGACCAAAGCGCTAGGACTCGTAACAGTCGCGGTCGTGGACATTACGATCTGCTTTTATTTAAACGAAATTTCGGTTCCGTATTCTGTGAACCTTTGCAGACGAGCATTGCCCTGAGACCGTTCGCAAAGTAACCATTTCTATTACTAACTACCCAACTATAAATTTCAAATCTACCTGCTATGAATCTACTGTAAACATTTAGTTTTTGTTCATATAAATCTGCCTTAAATAAAATCTTTACAGCGTCGTCCACACATTTTAATTGTTTTATTTACGAATCAACAAATCACAATTTTATATGTTTGTGATACTGACAGGCTTTGCTCTGGAAATAAATGTATGCGGAGGCTTCGAGCGTACGAACAATACGTTTTGAAATAAAGCCAGCAATAAATCTGTCGTGTGCTAGCTCAATCAAAACTAGTAAATAGAGACGGGCGACGCGGCGACGGGCGCGATAGATTTCAACGGGAATTATTCGAACAAAGATTTCGGTTTTACATTTCTATCGCAGCCGCGTGTTGTGGTGTCCCGTCTGCGACTCCGCAGCTGCTGACTCGCATATTCAGATTCAGATTCAGATTCATTTATTGATGTCGTTCCATAGACACGAATCTCAGAGTCCCGCTGGTAGTAGACGATGTCTGAAGTTGAAGTTTAACGAATGAAACATTACAGTTATCCGTTTATTCATTAACATGCGTTACAAGTCAATATAGTATAATAGTTGTAGTAGTACTGTG